AGAAAAACCCCGCCCCTTTTGGGGTTCAAAAAATCAAAAAAAAAAAAAAAAAAAAAAAAAGTTCAAAGAACAACTAAAGTGCCAAAATGAGACCTTCCCGAAGGGACGTGGTTCGTTATCACCGTGGTGTGAACAAGGCCAAACAGGCGGTTAATGTGATCGAAAGAAAAATAATTAGATTCCTTCTGTGGGAAATTACTCTAAAGTCTGCACAGCGACAATTATCAGTTTGATGTGATGTGTCTTAATGAAGACTGCCGTTTCACCTGAGGCATTCACACCGCTCTGACAAGCCAGCCCTGCGTGTGTCCTCACTACACAAACAAAGACCACGTTGGAGCTCATCACTTTCTTCGTGAAAGTTTAATTCTCCAGGATAGATAAACAGCTCCGGTCTAATCATTGTCCTTGTGTAGAAACCTAATTTTTTTTTTTTTTTTTTTGAAAAGTTACCTTGAAGTGTGCCGTTTTCTAAACTGTGGATATTGTTTAAGATGACAGTCGTTCTTACTTATTCTAAAACTTTGATCCCAAGAGAATTGAGTTGAAATCTGTAGGACTCTTTTTGCCTGGATGTTATTTGGGCAGAGGATGCAGCTGTCACCAGAACTTCTGCCAGACCTTTCATGTCTGAGAAGGTGTGAGCCCTCACTCAGGATCAAGGGGACACAACACTGCCGTGTTGTTTTAAAAACAGTGGCTTCAGCATCTTCTGCCCCTGCTTCCTTCAACTGGGGGAAAAAAACAAAACAAAAAAAAACAAGAGCAGTCAGAGAAAGAAAACAAGATGAGCAACTATTACATGTCTTTGGACAACTTGTGTTTTATAAAGGAAAAAAAAGTTTTTCAGCTTGAATTGTTTCCTCTCCGAACCCCACATTCAAGTTACTATGGTTCACATTTCAGTTGTTGCAAGTAAAAATGATACAGAAATTATGAAAAATAGTGGATGATACATTCACAGAAGTCAAGTGATGAATGGAAGAACAAAAGAGATGCATGGGTGGATTTAGACTATAGGGCAGGAAAAAGGTCTGAAAGAAATCCTAATATTTTTCCACATGTATCCTGATCTGGAAAATCATAACTGATGCTTTTACAGAATGCATTAGAATCATGTTTTTAGGCAGTGATTTTAGATTTATGCATTAAACATAATTAGAGCAAGATTTGTAACTTTGTTTAATTTTTTTTTCCCAAGAGAAGCATTTTTGAACATGCATGAGTTCGGGCAGGTTGACTTTATGGATGAGTTCTTTACACAATGAATATGGAATAAATCAATTTCCAGACTTTTTCAAAAATACAAATAAATCTTCTAAGTTTATTTTCAAACACAACACACAAATGAAACTCAAACTGGGTCACAGTGTTCTGAGCCTACCCTCCGACATTTTGCTTTTCAAAAAGCAAAAAAAAAAAAACTGAAAGAAATTATTTACTTACGAAAAAATAGGATGTGAATAAAATGTAAAAAAAAAAAATACCCTTCAAAACGACAAAACCGGATGCTCACTTCAGAAATTTTAGTCTCAGTCTCTCAGCCAGTGGCAGGGGACTGTCACTACAAATCACTGAATCCTCACCGTCTACCACGATGACGGGGGAAGCAGGAGTCTGGAGAATCTCATCATCACTGACTTTAGCTGTTTGAACATCCTGACGGCTGTTTTTCGTCGATGCAGGTGCTTCATTTTCAACATTTTCCCCATGGCTCTGTGACTTTGGTCCAGTTAACTGAAGCGTTTGAGAAGTCTTTGGATTAGCAGCTTTAACCTGATCGCAGGCTGGTTTTAGAGGGAAGTCGGATATTAAGCTTCTTATACTTTTGTCTGCCGGTTTTAGTTTTGCTCGACGTCGAGGTCCAGATTGCCGGTTTTCAACGTCGCTGTCCTCGCTGGATGAGCACGCGCTCATGCAGACGGTCTTCTTGCTACTGCTCTTTTTGTCTCTTTGTCCTGGGTCCTTTGTCTTACTTTGAGCATCACATGGCAGAATTTTTGGCTCTTTTGATCTTTGAAGTCTTTCTTTTAACATACATTGGATTTTGTTTGTTAGTGGCTCCTTTTCATTGCCAGTCAACACGATGCCCTCACTGCTACTTCCACTGGACATTTCCCCAGTTTGCTTTCCGTGAGAAATGACCAACTCACAGTTCAGATGTTTTGAAACCTCAGCTGCAGCTTTCAGAGATTTGTCTGCGTTCCTCATGAGGACTCTGTCTCTCAGAGGACACTCAGTGTAGCAGAGCTTTGCACCTTGCGTTTCATCAGTTTTCCCAGGCTCTGCACCCTGGACCGCCGGTGAGGAAGGCGAGGAAGTGAAAGACAACGCACCCCAGTCGATATCGCTGAGATGCAGAGCGTCAATGACGGCAGAGACAGAAGGTGAAGCGCTCTCTGGTTCGACGTCAGGCAGAGTTTCGTGGACTTGACCGTCTTCTTTTTCTTTCCCGTGTTGCTTACGGTTCACCGGAGTGTCTACAATGATCAGTTCTGTTTTTTCGGAGCTTGAGCCGGAAGGGAGATGAGTTTGTGGCTGAGTGGACCTGTTCTCTGAGGACGTCTGAAGCGTCACCCGAGCCAAGAGATCTGTGACACCAGCAGAACCATCAGATGGTTTCTCCTTTTTCCGTCTCGCTTTCTTCTCTGTAAGAAAAAAAAAAAAAAAAGAGAGAGAGACAGGAATGTCAGAGGACTTTCCTGGTGTTTCTGTTTAACAGGCCACAATTGGATATTTCTGACACTGTCAATAAACATTTCTCAATTATTGAATTTTAAAAAACGGACCGCTGAGTGTGAGATATGAACAAACAGTTCATTTACTGTGACTGCCACCTGTTTCCTGTAGCAGTATATTTTATACATTTGCTCATATCCATTATGTATTTGTCTCATTTTGTCTCTAAAATAAAAGGTTGACCAGGAATTGTAACTGTCATTATGTAGACATGTCAAATTTCATTTAAAATTTGGGATAAAAGCAAATAAACACATATGATTGCTGTGGTGGCAAAAAAAAAAAAAAAAAAAAAAAAGAAAGTAAGTAAGCAAATCCTGTGAGGCAGACACTTTTTGGCTGCATTAAAGGTTCTGGTGTGAAGTGACTGAGCTGCTAACTCTACATTTTCAGGTGTTAGAGCTGCTGTAAGCGAGAGCCTTAAAAACACATGTAAAACCTTCAAACAGCTTTGATCTGCGCCGCCCCGGCAGCGCAGACTGGGAAGTCTGGGAAGTTTGTCAAATCAGCAGGGGAGCTTTTTATGGAAAATGAGATAATGCAAGCACCTTATTAAATAACTATTTCACTGAAAACAACATGTAGTGGGATCTATTTAAGGTGAAAATAGGTGTCTTACGTTTAGTTTTGTTCTCTTCAAGCAGAGCTTTGCTTCTTACGTAGCTTTCAACAATCTCCGGGAAAGCCACACGGAAAAGCGACTCTTCCTCCACCGTCCTCACCTCATGTTGGTCCTCTGCGGGTCGTTCCTCTGGAAACACAAAATGTTCTGCAGAAAACAGGAAGAAATTTAGCTTAGGACATGTTAGTCTTATGTCTGGCTAACTAAACTAAGAGCTATGGTCCTTTCTTGTGCCTTTAGTTTTAATTTTTTTTTTTAATGAATCTCAATTATTATTTTCATCCCTCACCACAGATTACAACTACTCATGTATTTTCTAATACTTTTCCTCAATAAGTGTCAGTTTTAATGTTGCAAGTCTTTTTTTAAGGAAAAAAAAACATTCTACATATGCAAAGTGATAGCTTTACAGTGCAAGGAAACATATCTTCACCAGGAAAAAAACAACAATAAAGCATGAAATTTTGAAGAGGTTCAATGCCAAGAAATTAAATCTCAAATTGAAAACAGAAATCAAATTGCTGCAATAATGACTAAAAAATACATTTTAAAATGTTAGTCAATAACATATGAAAGACCCAAAGCAGAAAACACAATAAAATTCACCTCAAAACATATATTTTATTATTTTTGCATCACTTCAACCAAACCCCCAGATTACAGAGGAAACAGGAAAGTGAAATCAGCAAATATGGTCTCAATTTCCTTGAATTGTGAACAAATAATCAGAATACTGCAAAAGAAAAACTATTTCAAACCTGCCATACATATAAGTTATCATGTCTGTTTGCATATCTGAAGATTTGTCACAAGTATATTTAAGAAGTTCTGTTTAAAAAACCTAAAATATCTTATTTAAAATGGCCCTTTATTTATTTACATTTCTTTTATAAACTAAATGGAATCTAACATTGGGGCCACTTCCCTGATAGTCTGTGCAATTGAGACATACCTGCCACAATTTGACCACAATTCAAATAACACAACTTATATTTGTATTTAAAAGTATTTCTTCTGTTACACACGATAAAAATCTGCAACCTGAGTCAGTTCGTTGAGACTTTCTCAGGTCAGTGATGTCAAACAAGCTTGTTAGTGATGTCTGCTTTGATTTGACAGACTTCCCAGCTCAGAGAGGAAGCCGGTTTAGCACCTAGAAGCTGTTGTGACTGATCTGTCACCTCTGAACCCCACCTCACAGCCAGTCACTAACAGACAACCCGGTGACGAACGCCCCGCACCCCAACTTAGCGCTGCAGTCGTGTCATCAGCTCACAAATCCAGCGGGGGTTTTTTTTTCACTCCCCGAGCATATAACGAGCCACGAAGAGGACCAATTAAACACAAGGGGTCATTTATTCAGGTAAGAAGTGAAGATTGTAACTGACCTGGAGTGTTCCAGATGACTTCAAAGCAAGCAACAGCGTTCCTCACCCTTGGTTTCAGTATTCTTTTACCGAAAAATACGTTATTTTAAAGAAAAGCACATAAAACAGTAATATTATCACAATAATGCAGCTTTTCAGCTTTTAAAAAACATCATAAGACTACCGGATAGGCATAATTTGAGAGGGCACGTCTCTTCCGCATTTTCTGTTCATCAGCTCAGTGTAGGTCATCAGGACCAAGACCTTTTCACTCGTGTAGTGTTTTGGCCACTCCATCTTCTCGCAAGCGAATTTCTACGGAAAACCAGACGCAAGCTTTCTAATTCACGTCCATAAAAGGCAGCAAGAGGCGCTTAAATTAATGAAAAATGTAAAAACACTTTACCTGCATCAGCAGAATATTTGGCTGTCTCCTCTTAAAATGTGCCACAGGTTTATCCTTGGAAACCAGAAACTCGTTTATGATCTAGAATAAAATGTTCAAGTATTATTTCAGGTGTTACTGAAAGCAGAAGAAAAACTAAAAAAAATAAATAAATAAAAATACACAAACCTCTGTAAATGGGAACTGCTGACTTGCCAGAGTTTTTCTAAAATATAAAAGAAAAGATCATAGACATTTTAAACCTTCGTTTCCCCCCCAACAGCCAAACTTTTTAGATTTATAAACATTCATGCTGGTCTAGCACATAAAATCTTGTTTTAAATCTATTACAGTTTGTGAATCTAGATGCACAAGAACCAATAAGCTTATCTTCGACCAACTGTGGTGTTTGTGAGCCAAATTCAGTTGATTGAACTCGGTTTTATTTAGGGGTATCAACATAAAGGAGGCTAAATGTAAAAAATAAAGACATGTCATGCATCAATTTTCATTTTTCTCACAATTACACAGTGCTTTACTTTGACTCAAAGTACACCACTAAATTATGTCACTATATTAAAAAAGATAATAAATAAACATTTGGGAAAATTTAAATTCACGAGTCAAAATTACTTTCAGTTTATGAATGTTAAAATATTGTTGTCATAATAATTGATGTTAGTAATCCTGCTTCCCCCCCAAAGATCTTATTGTTTGTGCGTAAAATGTGTCTTTGTTGGATAAAGTTCTCAATTCAAATATTTTAAGTCTGAAATTTTCATAAATTTCCCTTTGCTTTGGGAAAATGTGTGACTGAATTAAGGTAGGTGGCTTATATGGCAAAGATCAAGCCCATTTCAATTCTTCATGCACCTTTTCTGACAGACTGTTGTATGTAAATATTCGTTTAATCCAGTCAACATGTTCACTTTATGATTTCTCTTCTCCTATTTGCATTTTTTTCAGTCCTGTTAATTTTAAAATTTTTTTTAATCGACATTTAGATTTTCATGGTTTCGACCAGCTTTTTTGAAACTACGCGTACTTCCTGACGTTTGCCTCCAGAGACGATGCCTGGCGGCTCTGTTCGTAGCAGTGCCAGTCACACGGACACCGATAATCGAAGTCCTGAGGTTGGCAGAATCGCCGACTGCCGCAGAGCACGCAGCCGCCACGCTCGTGTGCCTTAGCTGAGCCTGAGAGCCAAAGAGAAACCAGTGTTGATTCCTGAAATTTCTCACATACGTGCATATTTTAACATGGCAGATTAAATAGCTTTAATTTAGCAACGTGTGAGACAAGTCACTGCCGCTTTGGTTTGCTCACCAGGATGTCGACATAAATTGCAGTGAGGAACTTTCTTTGCAACTCCGACAGGCACGTCAGGACTCTCCTGCTTCCACTGGGTGAACCTTTAGTGACAAGAATAAGATTTCCTGAGGATCTACAACCCTAGTTAATGTAACATACATATTAGAAACCATATGAGTAGGACCTCTGTAGAAGTGACTGTCCTCTCAGGGTCTGCATAAGTCTCAAGGCCTGCTCTCTGCCAACACTAGGTATACCCTGAGGGAACCATTAAAATGTACATTAAGAAATAGAAATTTAATTAGAAATATTATTCTGAAGTAACTATTTTAAGCTGTGTTTTCTTTACCTTAGGAATATAATCACAACCGAGGAGAATGGCCAAGCCAACAAGATTCTCTCTTGACAGGTGTAGCTCAGTTTGCACTCGAGACGTCTGGTAGCAATCGACCTGAGGGTCCTGGGAGAACAAATAAAGTCAAAAATTGACACATCAGTTCCATCTGGATTAGGATTAGGAGTGTAAATGACAGGGTATTTTCTACAATAATGAGGAATCTCTTACTGTCTACAAAATGAAGCGGCAAATGAGAATTTTGTAACCACAAGAATGACACAAAATCATGTAATTGATCTTTTTGTTAATACTCCACACTAACTGCAAATAAATAATATATGATTAATCTATAAGCTGACTTATTATGTCAAACTGGCATGTATTGATTTTGTCAAAAGCAGAACATTAGTATTCAGTGTAGTCTTATTGAGATCTTAGCCCCAACGTGTGCCACGGTTTTCTCTTAACTTCCAGAAACATACTTTACTGTTCATATTGAAGTTCCTGTAGACCGTCCTAGCCCCATACAAGAATGCATCTCCATCGTTGGTGATGCAGCCATCAACCAGCCCTGCTGAGTCCAGGTAAGCACACATGGCCTCTGCTTCCCCAGCTGCTGTCACCCACGGCACACCCAGGTAGTCCAACATCTCTGCACACTGTAGGAAACACAGAGGTTGACAAAGAGCTGGGGGGGGAAAATTATTTACAGTCGGTTATTAGAAAGACTCACCTCTCGTAGCACAGCATTAAAGCGCCCTCTGCTGGTAGTTGTGGATGACTTTGAGGAATGGGCTTTTCTGGATCCTCCGAATCTCATTTCTGTCCTTTTGCTCATCGTTTCTGACTTAAGTTTGGGAGCTTCTCCCTCCATGACAAAGACGAGCTTCACCCCCATCAGTGTGAGCGACGACACTCGGAAAAATAAATTCCTGCACGTTAAACAGCATTGCGTTGGTTTTTACTTATAACACAGAGTTTTCTGTTAAATTAATAAAACTCACATTTTGTATTAGTTTGATAGCTACAGATCAAGTTATAATTTGTTTTTATTTGTCATTTTGTTGCATCAGGATAAAATCTACCTTTCTAAAAACAAACTTCAATGCACACATTCCTGGTGACATCACATAAGGCAACTGACAAAAAAATAACCATTTGTAATTGCCTTGTTTTTTTCCCACATAATTGGTACATAGTTCATCAAAATTCCTAGTTAAAATGGTGTTTCTTTTAGTTACATATTTGTGCAGCAAAATGTTAAAACCACATATGGGATCACTGCATAGCTCTCAAGAAAATTTGTTGAAGAAGCTATAGTAAAATTAGGAAAAAGTTGCTACACTTCTCCCTCACAACAAAAGTCAATCTGCTTGGAAAGGTTTCTGGTACATAAAATAAAAAATACTGTAGCTTTTCTGTTTAAATTAAAAGCTATTAGATCATTTTTATACATTTACAGTTTAAGTTTGTGTACATACAGTGGTACTGTGGTGTTTTTACTCAAACCCATTATCTCAAACCTATTATAGTTATAGTGACCGTGCCTACTTCAGTTTGAATGCAGTGTCACTATAGGGTCAAATTACATTACCGTACCATATCATGTTTATCTATACAGCCTTTTAAAAACAATGCAAGGTTGACCAAGGTGCTGCACATCTAGTAAAAACAGGCTGATATAAAAATGAAAAACAAAATCGTAAATCCTAAATACACAAATATAAGACAAAAAATAGATACACAATGTTAATAATACACAATGTTAATAGATATTACTATTTAAGTATATAATATATGGAACCAATCATCCCTCAACTCACTTCTTATGATGTGGCTGTACTTTAATTTTTGTCCTCAAACTCAGGCATGGAAATTCAAATGTTGCAAAATCTACGTGGAATATCTTCCCAGACTGTGTCTTTCGATAAGAGTGTTTTCTAATGTCATCTGATCAGCTTAATTATTATGCCTCTTGTGATGTCATCAAGACAAGTACACACAAAGCTGAACTTTCTGGGGAGTTTCTTTCAGTACATCTTTTTGTTTTTTCAATCCATTTATAATTTGTGAGATTCTTGAGTGGAACATAATTCATTACCCAGATGTACTTTTATAGTCAGTGTGAAAAAATGCATGGTCTCTTTAAAAAAAAAAAAAAAACTGCTCATCGAAACGCCTGTGAGGAATCAGAGTGGGTAAAATAAGCTGCTATGGTCTGTCAAACAAAATATTCTAATTTTCTAATTAAGTTTTTTTTTTTCTTTTAAGAACAATACATGAACATTTACCTCAGATGTGGCTTCGTAACTCTGCCCATCATGGCCTGGACGTGCTGAGCCTCACAGACCCATAAGCTCAGGTCTACCGCCAGAGTCTTTCCGCTCAAACTGTACAACGGCACTGCCTCTCGGACGGGCTCAACGATGGACCACAAGTCGTGAACACCCATGATTAATGCTTGTAAAATGGAATCAAGTCAAGAAGATAAACAAAATTATAAAAATAAAAAATAATTTAAAAAAGGAACACGGAACAGGTTGGCAAGTCGAAGTTTTCAAACACTGGCGCCGCCTCCGTTAGGCTGCGTCCCAATTTGTTTTCTTACGCTTCCTTTCTGTAGTGACGACTGTCTTTACATCTTACATAGATTATATGCAAAATATCAATTTAATAAAATGATTAAATATAAATCCTTCTTCGGTATATTGTGGTTATTAAAGCTTTCATACGAACCTTGAAGGAGAGTAGGAAAGATAGCCACAAAGCAGATCGAAGCCTGATTTTCAAACAGCGAGACGTCATTTTCATGCGCCTTCACAGATTGTTGCTATGGATACTCAGAGATTGTTTATGCGCTGAGGAGTTTATCAATGGCCTCACAAACGCAAATAGAAATCGTTGGCGTAATTAAAGACCCAAATTTCCATGCTGCCAGAAGTATAGCCGAGGTAAAATGACGCGTGTATTATGTTCCTCCTGTTGATTTAATTAATTTAAAGTTCCACCTCTGTCATTGTAGGGACTCAAACAACAGTTTCCTGATGATCTTTTGGATCCAGTAATTGTGCCACTTCTTGAATTTGACTGGCATGAATACCTATGCAAGAAGAAACGGGTAGGTTATTTCATTCAGCAAATTATTCAGAAAGAACACAAGCTAAAGTAAAAACTGTCGACCGAAAAGAAAACGATAAATAAATCTTAAAAAATCTCATGTGAAAAGTATGGCATGCAATCTTTCAATCCTCTTAATACCCTTAATCCAGTGCAGCCAGCATCGTGGAGGCCAAGAAACACACCAGAAAGGTCGGGTCTGAGACTGTATACGGAGCAGGATTGTATAATAAAGCAATGAGCTGATTGTGGAACATGGTGGTGGCAGCATCATGTCTTGGGTATTCTTCTCTTCAGGAGCCAAAGGGAAGCTGGTCAGAATTGAAAATGGATGGAGCTAAATACAAGTCAAATCTGAAAGACAGTGTGTTAGAGGCTTCCAGTAGGAAACTGCCTCTGCAGATATAGGGAGAGCTGCAATGTGGTAGTTTAAATTGAAGCATATTCATGTGTTCATTATGACAGTCAGAATTGGTGTTCATAGATACTCTTCATTCAGTCTGACTGAGATTGATCTATTTTAATAAGAAGAATGGATAAAAGTTTCAATCTCCCTGTGCAAAGCTGGAAGAAACATATTGTAAAAAAAATACCTGTGGGCATTGAGAAATGCAATAGTGAACATTTTAAATATGAAGGAACTGTACTAATCATTGCAAAAATGATTAGTACAGTTATTACTGATAAAAATAGTAATAATATACAATAAATATGAACTTGAACAGATCAGCGTAAGTTAAAATGAACCAGTTAAACAACAAAACAAATAAAAATATAAAATATGTGCAATAGTATAAAATAGTGCTTTGAAAGAAGTTCACAAAGTTCTTAGAGAAGGTGTGGGGAGTTTCTGAGAATCTCGAGTGCAATATTACTGCAGTGGATCTGAAACAGATCCTTGGGAGAAAGTAGGTCAACTCTAATGATCCTTTCAACTCCCCTCAATATCCTCTTGCTGGTCAATTACTTCCAACAGATTTTCTATGAAAATCCTGGATGAAATATGACACAATAAGCAATTCATCAGACATTTCAAACCAATCAAAGACTGGTAAAACAAGCTAAGCATTTCAAACACTGTGATTAATAAAAGAAAAACACTATTTCTCAAATATAGCATGATTAAAAAGTGTTAGCACTTCTTAGAAATAAAACTATTTACTGTCTACATTTCTAATGCCAGTGTATGTGATGAAAAATATTGTTATAAATAACACACAACTGAGCGTGGACAAAGCTTGCGACTGTGATCCTGCACCCCTACCACAGATATGATCTCGCTGCAGATTGACGCCATTGTTATTCTAAAATGCTGATTCACAACACGGCTATTGTTGTGAACTTGTGATTTCAGGAGCTGCGTGGTGATGTGTGGGAGTATCCCAGCAATGTGATATGCTTCCTTAATGGCGTTCTCCTCGGTAATGAAAAGCAACTCGCCAGCTGGGCAGAGAATCAGTGGAATTTCACCCTCGCTCATCCAGAGGATTTCTATACGGCTATCACCGAGGAGTACTATGCCAAACACCTTCAGAAAACTGGAGTAGGCTGACACCACAGTTACAAGAACTCATAAACAAATATAGGCATCTAAAAAAAAAGCATGTTTTTAGATGTTTTTAAATTGCCATCTAAAAACATGCATGCTATTTATTTATGCTATTTTGTAGGCAAGAAATATGCTGTCTGCAAGCAAGTGGCTCGCGTCTGATCCTATATATTGTCACTTCTAAATTTTGTCTCAGAGTAGAACATAAAAATAAATGAGCCACTAAAAGAAGAAGACTCACAGTAGAGAAACATGAAGACATAAAGTGTACTGAGACAATCAGTTTCACTTTTCAGTAATACGTGGCTACAGGAAGCCTGCTTCTAGAGAATTGTTGTTAGCATCTGCTGGTAGATTTAGGCACAGTAATTAATGCATTGAGCTGAAGTTCATGTTTCCAGGAACTGTTTAGCAATCAAAGATCAGAAATGTCTTTGGCTTACAGATGGGATCATTAAAAATCCTTTTTATTTGTGTGTGGTTTGAGTGTTTTTAAGATACTACTTCTGTAAGTTTGTGACTATCTCTTGAAGAACTTCTCCATCTCTTGAAAAGTAGATTTTCAATCTAAATTATATTTTAATAAAATATAATAAAGTTAGGCAGTATTCTAACCCGTTATTCCAATCTTCATTCTCTCCACAATACTGCTGAAGTAATAAATCATAAATATGAGTTCCTTCACTGTTTTGTACTTTATTCTGAGAAACAGACTCTGTTATTATTTACTATTATTATGTGTAACCCTGCTTGGCTTTATATGCTGTTGCTGGTGGATCATAAACTCACCATTCCAGGTTGCTACAGGTCACTTCCTTAACTTTTTCACCTCGTTTATGCTCCTTTCAGTATCTGTTCAAATTTTTCAGTATTTCTCATGCTGAGTTTATTTTTAGTACTGAAGAGGACTTAATGGTATTATGGTTGCAAAACCAACTGATAAGATAAGAAGCTTGGAAACCCTGATTGAAAGTTATTTAGTGAATGCCTTATCGCCTTTAGACATATCTGATGTTTAAAAAAAAGATTGTTGATAGCGTAGGACTCTTAGTTTTTCATCAGTGTATGTTGAACAGTGAAAACAAAATTGGAACCAATTCAGCTCCTTTTTATGCAGTAAAGTCAGTGCATGACTGATTACATATCGATGGATGGCTGGTTGGTTTTGCATTTCTAAAATAATACAAGTAATCAGTGTTCAGAGTGAGTATCATGTCTTTATCTGTTGTTCTTCATTGCTACTAGCACTTGTTCGAGTATATCATCCTTGCATAGAAATTTTGTGCTTAGTATTGAGTTCAGACAATGTGTGAATTATTGCCATACCTAAGATTTCAAGGTGGCAAATTCCCCTAACATAAATCTGAAGAGTTTGTTTAAAAGTTAAAACTGTGATTGCCTGTTGTTGTTGTTAGTCAAACTTCCATTCTTTTCATTTTAGCACAAGTTTGTCTTCATGGATGTTGTTGTAGCAGGAGAGGATCCTAGGAGGATATGTTTTGAGGTAAAACCTTTTCGATCAAATTTTACTTTTAAAGACGTACCTTATCGTTTGACATTATTGAACAATTTAGAATGTAAATATAAGAAAACGAAGTGACTAATACAGAACAGCATGTTGCGTCGTCTCTCCTCAGCTGTTCTCCGATGTGTGTCCAAAGACATCAGAGAACTTTGAGGCTCTGTGCACAGGAGAACGGGGACTGTCGGAGAGTGGCCTCCCACTCCACTACAAGGGCTCTCTGTTTCATCGCATTGTGCCCAACGGCTGGGTGCAAGGTGGAGGTGCTCTAAGAGCCGACTCTGTCACCTCTTACTTTTCAAGTGCCTCGTTAATATTCAGGACATGTATAACAGGATTACATAATTCAGAAACTCATTTACATGCAGGAAGTTAAATGATGTAGATCTATTTATGCAATGAATACCTTTTAACATGGGTGTCTGATTTTAGGATTTGTGGCACAAAGAAAAAAAATGCATAAAATGTTCAATTTACTTCTTGGATTAAAATATATTTGACATGAGTGTGTCCAATGTCACTGGCTTTGTCTAACTTTCCATTTTACTCTGCAGATATTTCTCCTAATAGTAGAGGTGATGGGGGCGAGTCAATCTATGGACCAACTTTTGAAGGTACCAACAATTCCTGAAGATGGAATTAGTGACTTCATATAGTTTGTACCACCTCAACATGTGACCATCTCACCTGTCAGATGAAAGTTTTGCTATTTCCCACTCAAAACGGGGCACTCTGGGAATGGCCAACAAGGGTCCCCACACCAATGGATCCCAGTTCTACATCACCTTGCAGCCGGCACCCTGGATGGACAAAACCTATGTTGCCTTTGGGTTTGTGTCACAAACTTGTTTCAGTAGTCATTAAGTGAATCACCAAGTGATGATATATATTATCTCTGATTAAATTTCTTTTTTCTACTTTTTAGTCGAGTGATTGAAGGTGTAGAAGTCCTGAAGAAATTAGAAGAAAGTAAGACTTCCAATGAAAGACCCAAATATGAATGTAGAGTATCAGCTTGTGGAGTGTTACCAATGTAGTGCCCATTAATTACTCACTTTATTTAGTATTTTATCTCTTTTTGATGGAGTAAATTCAAGGACAAACTCACTTCTGTGTTTATCCGTACTTTCTTGCTCAGACAAAACCCTTTAAATGTACCGTAATTCTATTATTTTGCTTTATTTGACTTGTGAGAATCAGAGTGCTGTAGAAAACTTGTAGTCTGTATGTAAGAGTAGGACACAGCTTGAGTAACAAATTGGGTGTATTGGCGTTATTTTTTGTTGTTGGGGGTGGTGGTATTGTTATCACACCTTTTAACATGTAGAAGACTAATTGTTCTCAGAACATTTATCTCAGCATTTTTGGAATATTTGTGCTATTCTCAGAGATGAAAAAAAAAAAAAAATCTTGTCAGCACATTTTCCAACAATGTTGCAAGTTTAACTTTGGTTATTTTTTACTTCATTATGTTAAATGGATGTGGATCCTTATTTCATATTAAAAATAGAGAAGGTGTGGCTCTGTGCTGCTCTTTCATTAAATTTCAGAAAAGTTATTTCTGTAAATGATTCCAGGTGGTCTAAGAGATAAAAACAATTAAAAGGGACTTTGAGTAGAAAATTGAAGAAACCCAAAGTAGTCTGGGGTCAAAATGAAAGCAATGAAATATTTAAAAATTTCCCCTTTACACTATATTCATTGTAGGATCATCTAAACCAGTAGATGACCCTACAACCAGAATGTTGCAGGTCTTGTGCAGAACCTAATCTAATGTAGTCTGGGTGTCAGCAATTAAATAAATATTGATATAAAAAGGGGGGAAATACATATAAATTTGATATGAGGTTCCAGTTTATGTTTGTGCAAAATAAAGCAGACCTGTGGTATTGCACTGCTTTTCTATATAACTCGATTTAAGGTTAGATGGGGAAAAAAAGAAAGAGAAATAAAATGTTATTTTTAAAGAATGTGTCAATTTAATCATATGTGTTTTTATTTTGAATAACTATTTTTATTTAATATTAATACCTCATTTAAGAGATCTGTTTTGATAAAACGAGCAAAATTACAAGGTGGCTTAGGAAACCAAATAATAATTATCCGTTCTAGAATTTCAGTAAATTGCTAAATAATGACTTTACTTGTTTAAATATCTAGCTTTTGTTGTAGAATAATTCAATTCTAGTTTTAAGAATTACAGCATTAAAATGAACTGGGATGAAGTAGCCCAGGCGACTTGTTTTTGTGTTACAAGCGCGCGTTTGAAGCCGCATTTCTGGGTAAAAGTCCCTCTCTGGTTCCGATCATTAGACTCTTCCGTGTTTCCTGCCCACTTGCTTGATTTTTCTCACCCCTCCCATAAGAAGCGCCACATGACCTGCCGAGTAGGAAGTGTCGAGCTAGCGGACATCAACAGCAGTAGAAGCAGCACTCCTCGGAAGAGACGAGAAGGGAGCCGCGAAATTCCGATTTCACATTCTCGACGTTTCCGTGAAGATAACCTGCCTCTGTGTGAACCAGACCGAGCTGTAAATCGGCCGCAGTCATGTACGTAAAGGTGGTGTTTTTCGCCGCAGCTCTGGCGATGATTGGCGCCGCAGCCGCTGAAGGTAAGTTTCACGACCTCTTCACCGAGCACAGCTAGCGGCTAATTGCAGCCAGAAACCCCCTCGGCAAAAACAAGACTTTTTAAAAAAATCGTCCGTTCATATCTGCTTACTGCGACACCCGCTAGGTGTCTCGCTTCTTTAGTTTGATAGTTGCCACATCAATGTTCTGGTTTATATAAATTATTTATCCAGTTTCTGGGAACTTACCAGTTTTATATCCACGTTGGCGAGAGGAAGTCGTGCTTCCAGAAAATGCTAGCGCTTTAGCTTGTTAATAAGCACTGCGACCTGGAATTACACTGGTATTGTGTAACGATCAGTGCGATGTTTGTGTCATAATGTTTATTATCTGATAACACGGTTATGGATTGTAAAAATATAATCGGAAGCAGACATGATGATTTGAGAATCCGGAAGAGGTTGTCGTAGTACAGTCACACTTTAAACAAACCATGTTTACCTTTTTCGATTTTCACAAATATTTAAAAAAGTTTAGAAAGGCTACTATGTTCAAGTCGATCTACCTTTCCCCAAAACAAATAATATGTCGTTTTTCCAATTTTCAAAAGCTTCATAAACGCACCAGTCCAAGTTTGACTAGTTTAATATTGAGGTTTGTGTAGAACCTGATCTAGGATGATGTAAGCGCACTGAAATTATAGTTTTATCCATTTACGCAATAATTATGAAGTTTTCAAAGATAAAACTTGTGTTTTAAACAATTGTTTATTTTAGGATAATCCAGTCTTAATCTGACCAAACAAAGGATTGTGAGATTTGTATGGAACTGCGTTTATGGTAGGCTAGGGGGAAAAAAGGCAATTTTTTCCCCCTACCCTTCCATAAACGCCTTCCCCTAACACAAATGTGTTAGCCTTCCCCTAACACAATGTAAACAAATGTTAAATATTACTTTTTAGGATGTTATTGATTATTATGAGATAGTCCAGGCCAGGTCTGACTAGTCTGTAAGATTTATGCTGTAAGGCATATTTAATCAGTTGACACATTTCTATAAGACTTTTATACATAAAATTCAAATGCATTTACAAAATTTTTTCATAGGTAAATATGTCTTTGACAAATTATTTGTTGCATTGCCTTTCTATGACACTCCGCATTTATTTTAAGTTCATTTCTTGATTTCCGTGTTAATGCTACAAAGATGTAGATAAAAATCTATATCTTAGAAGTCATTCATGTTCAAATAACCATAACTAAGCTGCATTTCTGAATTCCTTCCAGATGGCTGTACCTCTTTGACATGTGAAGTGTGTGTCAAAAGCCCACAATGCGCGTGGGCCAACTGCACAAGTAAGTGTCTCAGTATGTGGCAGGTTGTGGAACCAAGGAGCACAGGTTGGCCTTTGTGCCCTTAATTGTGCAGACAGCTGAGCTTATTGGAAGTTGGATTCCTTGCCGTGGAGGAAGGGCTCATTTTGGCTTCTCAAAAAGCCCGAGCTAAACCATAGTCTTGTGTCGACACTGGCCAGCTCAGGGCCAGCGTTAAGCAGTAAATTATGGAAACAAGATAAGGCTGGAATGAATTAGGCAGATGATTGGAGGCCTGCTCACATTTGCGAGTTGGGGGCTCAGAAAAAAAAAAAAAAAAAAAAAAAAAAAAAAAATATATATATCATGAGTGCATTGATTGCTTATGTAAAATTTTCACCTAAATTTTGCACAATTCATTTCTATCATTTATTTATTGTTATCTACAGGGCTGCCTGACTTGGAACAAATGACTTTAAAGGGACTTTAGTGTATGTGCAAGCTGCAAATAGCCCGATTCCAAGTTAAAATTCTCTGTGCATCTTTAATAAATATTTCAATTGTTGAAATTGTTTCCTGCTAACCTGTCGATATTCAGCTAGCCAATGTTTTAATTCATCACCATTTTCCCACCAGATTTCCTTTGTGTTCTCTTTGGTTTGAAGTTGATCTCAGATCACATAAATTCTAATGACTGCCTTTACCTTTTTTTTTCTCCCTATCTTCCTGGATTTAATTGTAACTAAAACTTTTACAGCTTGTCTCATGTGAGTCAACATAAATGTAGCAAGTATCAATATTCAAGATCTCTTACCGCAAAAATACGGAAAGAAATCAACATGTTTTCAAATTGACCAATGAATGAACTCTTTACTTTTGCAACCACAAGTTAACTGCGAAAGAATAACAAGTTGGATACTTCTGATTTTTATCACATTTTAATGAACTACATTTCCCCAAAACATCAGTTCCCTCTAAATGAGATTTACAATTTCTGCAGTATAAAAATTGTAGGTAGCAATGTGGTTGCAGTGACTTTTTAAAGCATGTTTCACAGTCTTCTGGCTGTTGTGGTTATTTCAGTTACACCTCATTCAGTTAGATGCTTGCCGAAGGAAATGTGGATGAAAAATTGTTTCCAGAGTCAACCAATGGTTATTTGGTTAAACCGTTTCCTCTTACGGTTTGGGGATTTTCTTTTTAACTCAACGGCTCAGCTTCTTGTTTTTTCCAAAATATTGCATAATTTTTTTTTGACTATGAAGGTTTTTTTCTTTTCTTTTGTGAGTAAGTCAAGAGATCTTGTTAAACGCGCCTTTTGGAAGGCTTCAAAGTTCAGTTTGACATGATGCACGCCTCTAGTCATTTTGAAGATGAAGAAAACAGCAGAGGAAGTGAGTGAGGGGATGTGTGGCAGGAAGCAGGCAATATTCCCAAGCAGGTTAAATGAAAGGAAGGAGAGGATAATGACACAAGTCTGAGGAAAGTGTGCTGAGAGGATAAAAGATCTGCTTTACGATTGTCAATTACTGGATTGAGCTTTTGGCTGTAGCTCAAGACGCAAAATATCTGGTAAATCACACTTGAATATCGGAATATTGGATCTCAGGAATTTGTTAGAAGCAGCTCCAGGAAACTTGAACGATCCAAATTCCCTCAACAGACCTGCAAGCCGCAGGTGTGTAAACCGTCACGATAGCCGACCTGTTTGACAACCTCATGTATTTGCGGCTTTGATTCTTTCCCGGGCTAGACTATATTGAGATTTCGCAACACCGCGCCCTGTACCTGCTTTGACAATGACTGTTAAAAAGGTTCTCTGATAATGCATTGCTGAGTGATTCATCCAGAGGTTCAGCAGGACAAGTAGAACAACACGTGTCTGCCTCCTTTTTGGGGCGCTGCAAGACTAGATGGTTAGGTTTTTGTTGTTTTAGCCAAGGGAGAAGCTTGACCCGGTTTACTGTTACATTTTGTGCACAGTAGGAAATGGCAGCTTGCCACCCACAAAAACGATAACTTTGAAGCAATTACACCAGCGTGCATTCAGTCAGTATTGAGTCTGTACAATTGTGGTATCGAAACAAGACTTTTAAACACATTTTTCTTGCGTTTTATAGAAAGTAAAGCCTCGTTGTTTTCTTTCGAAAGAATGACCCTGAAAGTCCAGCACGTGTGCCTGCTCGACATGAAGGAATACTGAGAGGGATTTTCTCTGAAAATAAAACCCGACCATGTTCAGGAAGGGGTCACCCATTTGAAAATGAACAGAGCAGGCAGCTGGAATGCCAGCCGTGTCCACTAAGACGGCTGCTCTGTAATGAGGGGTATCTGCACGCTGCGGGTAGCGACTCAGGGCCACATTATCACCAGGTTTACTTTTGGTTTTAGGGATTTTCTGTAAACAAGCACTCTGCACCAGGAACATGTTTCCCTGCTGTCTCCGGCTTTAACGCTCCCAAAGCTTACACGTGTACATTGTGAGTGCTCAGGAGCTTTAAGTGCAGACTGTGACCGAGCCTGCTGGGAGCGCCGACTCTCAGGACCACGAGGCTGTTCAGCACACTGATAATAATGTCACCATCTTGGCAAAGTGTGGGAGTGGGTCCTACCTTTTGCAGCTGCATGTGACATAACATCCTTCTGACCTAAACGGAGAAGGAAAAACATACACAGACTACAGTATCAGGTTACATAAAAGTTGTAGGGGGAAAAAAAGTCTTATACTTTTTTTTTTTTTTTTTTAAATCAAATTTACATGCACATCCCAATAAATTAGAATATCAACAAAAACATAATTTATTTGGTAAAATAAAACTTATTTCATCCACAGGGATATATTTAAAGTGTTTTATTTCTGTTGGTTAGGATATTTATTGTATTTTTTAACTTGCTGCTAAGAAAAACTAAGAGTTGTTGAGAATAAATAATTCTGTGTTTTCCTTCGCTCTCTTTTAGTTGGTTGCTAAGCTAAAGCTTAGCTGAACCTAAAGGAAATCACATGTCAGGAAATGTAAATGAGAGCTGGGGTAAGGGGATGGCACACTAGGTAACGCCCACTTTGGGGCGTAGCTCAGAGAGACAAAGGGAATGGGAGCCTCTTCTGGGATGCCATTTTGACTGTTGGCTCATAATGGACCAGCTGTATTTTGGTATTACTAAATGGAATTCATGAATTCAACTCACTGACTCTTCTGCAACCTCATACATCAAGAATTCAGCATGGAGAACAGGTCATTCTCCACAGAGTATTGCCTAAAAATGTGTGTCACACACATCACAATAAGTGTAATTGCTAATAAGCTGGCAGTTCACTTTCCAAGTTTATTGATGGAAAGTTGAGTGGAAGGAAAAAATCTGTGTGAAGCAGTTGCATAAATGGTAAAGTTGAGGTTTTCGGAGTCGATTCCTCAAAAGTGTTTTTTTAGGGTGGAGGCAGTGTTTCGGGCCTTGTACACACGTAGCACAGTTGTTATAAAACAAATATCTCTGCCACGTCATTAAAAATAAAAAAAACAAAGAAATCATACATATGGGACTGGCTTCAGAAAAGTTTTTGTCCACATGAATCTGCACAAATTCGCCAATGAGCACTGTATTGAACATGCTAAGCGGATAAGTCCAAAATTTACTTCAATCTGAAAATATTAGAAAACGATATTGAGAAATTAAAGTCCCAGACTCTGGAGGAGTCTGGAGGAGGAGGGTAGTTTTAGAAGTCCAGAGTGAGGTTTGCATTAATTGATGATTTGGGGGAGCCATGTCATTCCCCGGTGTTGTTGGTTCACTATGTCATCTCAGCCTTCAAACAGGCAATCTTCGAGCACTTCCTGCTTCCCGCTGCTGATGAGCTTTATGCAAATGCTGATTTAATTTTCCTCAACGCCTCACCGGAGCCACAGTTTGATCACCTCCGTGTCATGCCGCATTAATGATTACGTTCATGCAAAATGAGGCCCAACCAAGTGCTGAGTACATTAGCCGAAAAGCTCATGGACATTATTTTCACCAACATATCTGTATCACAAATGCATTTAAATCTTTTATTTAAATGCTTTTGAGAAAATTAGTTTTAACTAGCTATAAGGCATATTCACAAAATCAATAGAACTAAAGTGTTTGTGTACGTCACTGTGTGTGATTCATCTATATGCGTTTTGCTTTTTGCATCAAATGACTAAAATACATGAACTTTTCAGTGTTATTCTAACATTTGAATGTACCTTCTTTTTTTTATTAATGTAAATCACAGCTGGCAAAGTCTAAAGCTACATTTTTTTTTTTTTGTAGATTTTTCCTCCTTTCTAGTTTTCTTTTCTGACCAGTTAGAGAAATGCTGCTAAATCGTGTTATTCAGCGGGGCAATTAGTTTGAAAACGTGTCAGAGAAAAGCTGCAGAGTGGCAGCGCTGTGCTTTATGACAGCCGCTGACGTCTAAGTGCATTGCTACTGAATGCCTCGCATAACTGAGCCAACAGCAAAGTGGCAAACTCTCAAAAGACTCCTGCATCATGAGCTCCACAAACTGATAATTACACCTCAAAAGCTGTTTGGGAGTTACTTGTTTTTTAAAACTTTGTGCCTGATTAATGTATAATCTGCTGCAGAGCGGTGGAAAATCTCATACAGGCTAAAGCTAGTGAGGCTGAAAACTTACTTTGGCAAACCTGGTGTTTTTTTTTTGTTTTTTTTTATAATTTATGGGAGTCCATCTGGAATGGTTTGATCGCCCTTAAAGAGATCTGTTCCGTTCTCTGTGCATTTCAGATTCATAATATCTCCACAGGTTTTAAAACACATTTAGGAGCGTTTCTGTTCTGCATTGAACGTCTGTGCAATCAGATTTAACAGCTGATGTATGTTTAATTAGAAATATTTCTTCCACTCCTAAAGCATTGAATGAAGCCTATCGAAAACAGTCCATTGCACAAAGGAGCTATAGTGTTAAAACAACAACGCAACCCGCTTCCTGCATGAAGCATTCGTCCTGACAACCACATGGATGTCACTGTGACATTTCTCACCTACGTCAAACATTTTTATTAATTTTTTTTTTTTTTTCGGTTGAATCACACCTCAACATGGTAAAGCACATTTCTGCAGCAGCAGCTCATCAGCTTAAGCTTGGGTTTCTTTAATCAAAATGTAGTAATTATAAAGTTTGAGGAATTTTTTTTTTTTATGTCTGGAAAACGTCATATTATGTAATTGTTTGCTTTTGTTTCATGGTTAAACTTTAACAACAACTGTTACGCATAGATAGGACAATAAATGGGTGTGGAGGGGAATGCATAGTCACAAAATTATTGCTATCACAATCACTTATTGTCTTTCTTTTCTCCACCATGACCAAAGCCAGGAACGTGTCGAAAATCAGTGAAAAATCAGAATTATTGTAGATTCTGGGTATAAAACGGAGCATTTTTCTCTGTTAAAGAACAAAGAAGCACAGCCAAGATCAGGCTTGACGACAGGGCAAAGTTCACCTTACTCATGGTTAATAAATGATTAGACTGCACAATAATAAACAATGCACCTAAGTGATTATAACTAAATATTACACTCCCATTTTTTTCCTTTTTAATATTACAGAAAAAAACGATACCAATATTTCCAGTGTGTTAATTTAACACTTGTAGACGCTACTTGCATTAAAATCCTGTCCTATCATTTATAGTAATGTTTCGCTGTTCGGCTCCTGATTGGTAATGCGTGATAAAACTTGCTGCTCATATCCTGGGTGTCGAATGATAACAGAGTAGGTTTGGTATAAATGTAGCGAACAGGGTCACATTTGGCTCGGTAAAAGAAAATTCATGCCAAAAGCAGTTTCAGTGTTTGCTGTTGTCAATGAAGGCCTTGTTCCCCTGCGAAAGAAATGGCTGATGATCTCAAGTCTGTGCTTGAGGGGAACTTGTACGTCTAGCAAAAAAAAACAAAAAAAGAAGAAAAAAAAATGGGTAGGGGTATGTTTTGGAGCAGGGGCAAATCTAAAACATCCAAATGCTTTCCATGGGCAGTACATGTGCAGATGAGACCTTGTTCACTTACATTAGACTATCAAATTCTGAATTGGATATAAGCACAAAACCAGTGTATTTAAAACAACAACAACAACAAAAACAAGCTAGTTACACAACTGGAGTTTTTTTTTTTTTTTGGCAGATTTAATCTTTTAATGAAAGACACGCAGAGTAGCGGTAATCTATGTAAATGATCATAGCTCAGTTTTTTTTTTTTTAACTATAATTGGATTCCTAAAATGTTCATTTATACCATTTGAAAATAAAGAAGTATCAAGAGCTCTTTGCTAAAACTAAATGTCAGCTATAGGGCACAGGAACATTATGTCAACTTGAAGGTAATGAGGTGGTCCGATGGGGCAGGCAGGATAGAGAGGGCTCATCCTCCCTCTGCAGGAAGCGGAAGTAGGATGTAGGTCTGTGTGAGCAGCTGATCCTACCTTCCTGTAGGGAGGAGACGAGAACAGAGTGGCTCGCCTGCGTATCAAGCTGTGCGCCCTGATTCAGCGTGGTGCTGCTTTCTATAGACATGCTTCTGTATATTTGTGAATCACTTTATCTTGGACCATTAGTTGGAATTTGTTATGTACTCTGATGTTTGGCAAATTTATGATGTTTTTTGTAAATCCTGAAGACTTAAATTGCTAATTTTTTTTAATTTTTTATAATTATTATTAGCTTCTCCAGTGAATGCTTCCTGTGTCGACGCTATCCTGGTGGCTAACAACACCTGCAGCAACGCAACCTGTTCAAGTAAGTTTGACTGCATATTGGAGCTAAATGAATAACAGTTGTATTCTTCTGGCATTAACATAACATTTTAGACCCAAGAGAATCAGCAGACACTTATTGTTTTACAAATGATGTATTTCTTCATGAATAGACTCTTATTTTTCTGTAGATTCTTGATGGGTCTAATTATTGTCTTACTAAAATATTAATTAATGGTCAGTCAGGGCTATTTGGGTGTTTTTCCTCTTGTCTGTTGTCTATAATCCAGATGTTTTGGTGTTTTGTCTGGCTTTCTTTTGTATGTTGTGTGCTGGTTGGTTCTTTGTCCAGTTCCTTCTCCTACAACCTCGGCTGCACCTACTTCCAAACATTCATCTGTTGCCCCCACCACCCATACGACAGGTAACCACTGCCTAATACCTGAGCTCTATCTAGTCTGTGGAGTCCATTTTGCTCTGGTTTTATTAACAGACGTTTTCTGTTTTTTTGTGTTATCAGAAGTATTTTATCAGGCTTAGGGTAGTAAGGTCCCACATCCACTTAAAGAAAAGTGCAATAGATATACAATGCCATCTCAGTCATTTAAGTGGTGATTTATTTAGTTAAAACTGCTTTAAGCTGGATTTAAACTGGTTTTGCTGATGTTTTGATCTAGGATTCCGATTTTTTTTTGCCAGTTTTGTGATTTCTCTTAAATACAGTATAAAATGTTATAAGAACAACCCTAAAATATTTTAGCTAGCTTTGTAACATTACTGCACTGTGTTACAAAAGTAGCTGTAAAGTAGGGTTTTACTGTTATTTTAAAGACTAGGTGATATTATGCATTCGCTCAGCGATGTTCAGCGGTTAGTTCATGGCCCACCAGACAGAATGGAAAGGTAGAACGAAACCTGGGGAAATCTATCGCTGCCTATACAAGCGAATTACTTGGAAGGGTAGAAGCTAAATATAAATTGTACATTCAATAGTAGCAGAATGTAGCTTTTATTAAGTGGATACTTGTAATCTGTCCTTTAAATATCAAATTCTTTATCCGATTGCCCTCACTTTTAAGTTAAAGTGCACAAACCTGCTTTATTCTAGAAACTAAGTCAATGAAACACGAGGGAGCTTTTGCTGTGAGGTAGAAGCCAGAAGTAACTCTTAAAAGGAGAGCGAGGTGTGAAGCACATGCTTGACACCTTCAGCTCTTCAACAGTTTTACATTCACTCTTCTCTGCCGCTTTTGTGGTTGTGAGTGAAACTGTGAATCCTGTGAGGTGGAGAGTAACCGACGTCGATTTTTATCTTGAATAAATGCTCGATAGCTTATATATATATATATATA